ACTCTTGTGGGACACTCTTGTGGGACACTGTTATAGGACACTCTTGTAGGAAACTCTTGTGGGACACTCTTGTAAGACACTCTTGTGGGGCACTCTTATAGGACACTCTTGTGGGTCACTCTTGTAGGAAACTCTTGTGGGACACTCTTGTGGGACACTCTTGTAGGACACTCTTGTAGGAAACTCTTGCGGGGGACTGTTTTGGGACACTCTTGTAGGACACTCTTGCGGGACACTCTTGTAGGACACTCTTGTGGGACACTCTTGTAGGACACTCTTGTGGGCCACTCTTACGGGGCACTCTTGCTTGTGGGACACTCTTGTGAGACACTCTTGTGGGACACTCTTGTCAGACACTGTTATAGGACACTCTTGTAGGAAACTCTTGTGGGACACTCTTGTAAGACACTCTTGTGGGGCACTCTTATAGGACACTCTTGTGGGTCACTCTTGTAGGAAACTCTTGTGGGACACTCTTGTAGGACACTCTTGTGGGACACTCATATAGGCCACTGTTGTGGAAAACTCTTGTGGGTCACTCTTTTGGGACACTCTTGTCGGACATTCTTGTGGGACAGTCTTGTGACGCACTCTTGTAGGACACTCTTGTGGGTCACTCTTACAGGACACTCTTGTGGGACACTCTTGTAGGACACTCTTGTAGGACACTCTTGTGGGACACTCTTGTGGGACACTCTTGTGTGACACTCTTGTAGGAAACTCTTGTGGGACACTCTTGTAGGACACTCTTGTGGGGCACTCTTATAGGACACTCTTGTGGGACACTCTTAAGGGACACTCTTGTGAGACACTCTTGTGGGACACGGTTGCGCGACACTCTTGTGGAACACTCTTGTGGGACACTCTTGTGGGACACTCGTGTCGCGACACGGTCTGCGAGTATGGTCCGCGGATGGGTCCCGCGACGTGACGGTCATGACGGTGTGGACGCTGACGCTGACGTGACGTTGACGTGGCTGAAGGCAAATGATTGGCGACGACGCCGTGACGTGACGCTGACGTGACGCGACGTTGACGAATGGCATTCAGATGTACTTGCGATTGGCGATGACGCCGTGACGTGACGCTGACGCGACGTGATGTTGACGAATGGCACGCAGATGTACTTGCGGTTCGCGTTGACGCTGTGACGTGACGTTGACGTGACCGAAGGCAGATGATTGGCGATGACGCCGTGACGTGACGTGACGTTGACGAATGGCATTCAGATGTACTTGCAATTGTCTTTGATGCTGTGCATGACGTGACGTTGACGTGACGTGACGTTCACGAGGGCAGATGTATGCCGGCAACGTGACGTTGACGCGGACTTCTTCGTAATATGTAATCCCCCATCATGGGATTATGGTAGTCACATATGATCGGCTGATGTGGAAGTACTATGTGGAGCTAGCAGTCAGAATATGGTTACAAAGCCTGGAAAGAATCTGTACCAAAAAGCAGTTAGAATATGCGTGGGTCTGTGCCTGTCACTTGCTGGAGCATCGTGCTCACATGTGGTGACAGTCTTAACCTGCGGAACTTCTGCACTTCTCTTCCTGTAGTCTTCTATTTTCTGTCTTACTTGTTCTCTGGGAGGCACGGTGTTTTTTTGGACGGGCAATTAGAATATGTTTCCAGGGATGCCTCACTGTAGTAGGGTCGTCGACCTCATGTTGTTACTAGGTCGCAGTCGTCATTGTGGGCATAGTAGTAGTAGAAATAAAAACAAGAGTAATAAAAGTAAAAGGTAATAATGGTAAGACTAGTAGCAGGAGAAGTAGTGGTAGCAGCAGCAGCAGCAGTACTAGTAGTAGTAGTAGTAGTAGTAGTAGTAGAAGTAGTAGGAATAGTAGTGGTAGCGATATTTGGCAAGGCAGCTAACTTGCAACTGCTAGGCACTTGCCTTAATGTGGAATCTCTTCTTCGGCGAAGTGAGACGCTGACGGGCCACGTGGAATTGCAGTTGGGCAGTTGATGATGGGATGTTACCTGATGGTGGTTGCGATGGGACATTGCCAAATCCAAACAACCCCTTTTGGCGCAGACGTGTTGCGGGCGTGTCACACTGATGCGTGGACAGTATGAGGAAGGCCCAGACCAATACATAATTAATAGTAATAAGTAGTGTATTATTAATAGCGGCGGCAATAGATCGTTTTTCCCCAAATAGTGCTCCGCACTAAGGGGTTCTTACGGTAAGAGTTAAGGGCCGGGTTTAGATCAGGGTTCGCGCGTGTGGTTGCGGCATTTTGCGTGGGCCGGCTCGCACAAAAGTTACTTTTTGAATTCCTCATGTCCATTTCGACTGCGCAGGCTCGCATAAAGTGGGCGTCGCGGTTTTCGCGCTTCCGGGACAAAGCTCTCGCGCAGGTGCCGTGCTCGTTTTCGGACATGAAGTGCATTTTGCGTGGCAGGCGCAAGGAATTTGACACATTGGAGCCTCGAAAAGGTCATTTTACGTGGCAGGCGCAAGGAATCGGAGACTTTGCAAATTTCGTGGCAGGCGCAGTGTTTTGTGGACGTTGCAAAAACGTTGGCAGGCGTGTGTCATTCGCAGGACTGCGTTTCACGTGGCAGGCGCAGGGAATCCGCACCATGGATGCGATATTTTGAGGTGAAACGGCTGAATTCGTGAGAGGGGTCGCATTTTTGGAATTTGAACTTGAGGATGCTTTTGCGTGGCCAGGGCAGCATTTCGTATGACCTGCAGGCATGATTTCGTGGCAGGCACAGAATTTCTGAAACGCATTTCAAAATTTGCGAAGCCTCGTGCAATTTGCTCATTTTGGATCTCCGATGTGCAGATTTCCTGGCAGGCGCAGCCCTTTGTGAATCTCGATGCGCAGGTTTCGTGGCAGGCGCAGCACTTTGTGAATCTCGATGTGCAGATTGCGTGGCAGGCGCAGCACTTTGTGAATCTCGATGTGCAGATTTCGTGGCAGGCGCAGCACTTTGTGAATCTCGATGCGCAGATTTCGTGGCAGGCGCAGCACGAGGGTTTTTTTTGCCTACCTCAATCGCACTTGTGGCAACCCCGTGTGGGTAAAGGCTCTGCTCAAACATGGAACCAAATACCTGGCCCCCTTGTTGTTGACTCTTTTGGAGGCGCGTGCCGCCAATCCGATTTCGCGCGGCGGCCGGGTTCTTTGGCGCCACGTGGATGCCGAGTATGATGCATGGCTTGCGTCCTCCGGCTTCGTCGCATCCTTCACCTCGTCCCACGCGGTTGCGCTGGGGCGGCCCCTCGCATCGGAGTCGCACGCACTCGCAGCTTGCCACTGCATGCACACGCGGAAAACATGCGCGTCTGTAGCTTTTTGTTTTACAACGACCTTCAAGCCATACTACTCTAGCATTTTTGGCACTACGTTGGTCGCA